TAATACATGAATCATCTGTATAACCAAAGTCATGACAAACTCACTGAAAAAAACCCATAAGTCTTATTTTCAGTATTCGAGAAGAGCAACTTTACAGAACTCTAAAAATATAAAATTTTTAAATGAAAATAAAAAGGGGATTTCAATTATATGTGATCATTAGAATCAAAGTGCTGCAGTCATCACTAGCTATTTTGGGGACTGCTACACTAAACTGTGATCTTCAAGAAAATCTCTCTCTTACGAAATGTTGCGTTTCATACGTAACTGGTTTTGACGCCAACCAAGTTTTCCAAGACAAAGCTGTACATGGTTCTCCTACAGATTAAGGCCTTTATAAAAGCAGCCCATTCAGACTGGCTTAAAATATAAAAGAATCCTATAACGAATGTTTCTCAATTGTGGGCACATTTTAAAATACATTCTCATTAATTTCAGATATTCAACATTTACTATTTTGCCTCTTCCAATATTCTGTGAACAAGTAATTTTGTACTCAAAGCTTTCACTAACTCTCATAACCATGCTTCATCCCCCTGGTGTTCATGCGCAATGTGACACAAACTTCAACAAACAAGCAAAATTTCTTCAGATCATTTGCTTAGAAGAGGACTGTTGTGGTTTAAGCCCAGCTGGAATTAAACACCACACAGCCGCTCGCTCGCTCAACAGCCCCTTTCTGCCCCCCACCCCAGTGGAATGGGGAGGAGAATCAAAAACTTGTATGTTAAGAACAGTTTAATAATTGCTAATACAGTAAAATACAGTAATAATGGTAAATGGTAATGATAATGAAAAGGGAAAAACAAGCGATGCACAATGCAACTGCTCACCACCTGCTGACCCATACCAGATCCCCCTTCCCAAACCCAGAGGTTGCCTTCCAGGCAACTCCCCCCAATTCATACACTGTGCATGACATTCTATGGTGTGGAATATCCCTTTGGTCAGGTTGGGTCACCTGTCCCAGCCTTGCCCCTCCCAGCTTCTTTTGCGTACCTCCTCGCTGGCAGAGCATGAGACAAGAAAAGAGTCCCTGACTTAGGATAAACACAGCTTAGCAAAAAACCAAAATATCGGTGTGTTACCAACACTATTCTCATTCTGAATTCAAAACACAGCACCGCAACAGCTACTGAGAAGAAATTAACTCTACCCTAGCTGAAACCAGGACAGAACCTAAGAAGGTTAGTTAGTTAAACCAGCTGGGAACACTCACCAAGTTTCATTAGTGTAAACTGATCTAAGATTTCACTCCTACCAACTTGGGGTTTGTCTCAGTTCCATTTGAAAATTGATACTCAGGATGTGAACACTTGAGGATGGCACCTTTCTTGCAACCAAACAGCCTATAGCCCAGCCAAGGACCTTGGCGTCTTTGGGACCCTCAGGGCAGCATGATGATTTATTTCTCTGCCAGCTGCCAGTTTTTGAAAATCCTGTTGTGCAGGGTATAAACGGCAAGGTGCTGGGAGTAGAGAAGCTGCGGGAATGGCTCCTGCAGGAAAAGGCCAGGGGTTGTTCTGTCCCAGGCCCAGCTGGCTCCAACAGAACCACAGCAAGACACAGCTGAGCCCCTCAGCAAAGCTGACAGCACCTCTGGGAAACTGTATTTAAGAAAAGGCAGAAAACGCCACAAAACAGAACAAAAGGAGTGAGAAACAACAAAGGGAACACCACCAAGGTCAGAGGAGGAGGAGGAGGTGCTCTATGGTGCCAGAGGAGGAACCCAAGGGAGGTGCCAGGGAAGACACAAGCCAGAGCAGGTGGATATGCCCTGAAGGAACTGTGGCACATGGACAGCCTGTGCCAGAGCAGATTCTTCTTGCTGAAGGACTGCTGTCAGTGAGGAGCCCATGCCAGAGCAGAGGAAAAACGTGAGAAAGCAGGAGCAGGAGAAAGAAGCCACCTCATGCCAACTGTAACCCCTTTGTCCCCTGCATCACGAGGCACAGGAGTCTGGAGCATAGGAGTGAAGTTCAGCCTGGGAAAGGGGGGAGGAAAAATGTTACTTTCATCTCTGTCTTCCTCTTTCTGTCTCTATTTTAAATGGCAGCAAATTAAAGTCATTTACCCCAAATCAAGCCTGTTTTGCCCAGAACAGTAATTATTAAGTGGTCTTCCTGTTTTTATTTAAAGCTACAAATCTTATCCTATTTTCTGTCCCTGCCCCACTAAGGAAGGGGAGAGACTAAGCAGCTGGGTGAGCACGTGCTGTTAGCCAAGGCTAACTCACCACCCAGCACGTAACAGTTTTGACCCAATCTTTAACAGGAATGCTGATGAAGCAAGAGCTCAAACCGAGATTTGTGTTACATGGCATGAATCTCATTACTGCTGCTGAGTCCTGGTTCTGAAGTAGACAAATATAATCCAAATTGGCTAAGTGCCTAACCAATCTGAGTTGGGTTAAAGACCCTTTTTTCACCTATCTATCTATCTGTCTGTCTATCTACCTATCCTTTGTGAAAAGCAATGCAAGTCACAGGCTTCACAGAGGACACACATTTCCTATGATCCAAATTGTTACTACTACAGAATAGCAAAGGTAGTGAGCAATCCATTAATATTTCTCTTCTCTCTTGATCTTAGAGCTCCTACTTCTATGAAGGAGTACATAGGATCCATCAGCAGAACTAATCAGAACAAACAATACTAAAATCAAGTCCACTCAAAATACTGCGCCTCTCAAGTGCTGCATTTCTTCAGAAGTACATACTATTGCCACATGCATCCACAAAGACCTTCATCCTGGGAGCTTCACTGCTATATCATCCTTCATCTAATTTGGGTTGTGAGCTTCAAGGAATGGGAACTTGCTAATAGGAGATTCTATATCAATGCAAGACAGTCCAAATAATAATCCACACCATTAAAATTTCTGTCAAGTTCTCTAATCCCCAATTACAAACAGAAGGTAAAGTAACAATCTATTCTTTTGCAATAGTGCAAGACTGAAGAAAATACAAGAAGGCTTCCCCAAAGGATTCCTTCCCATGTGTGGTCAAAGAGCAATAAATGCTGTTCCTAGCAAGGTTGATATCCTCAGTTAAAATGCTCCAGCATTCAAGAGTTGGAGCCAATTCCCTACACACCAATATATGGATAGAATGAAGATCCCCTTCCCCTTCTGCACTCCCCCAAGCTTTTAAATAATTCCTATGACATATTGTTACACATTCAGCCAAAACACAGATCTTTCATCATCCATTCCCAAGTCAATTTGTAAAACTGAACATTACTAGAGAAGGATGGAGTAAAGTTTGGAGTGCTTTTTTTTCAGTTGATTGCTTCAGATGTACTAACAACAGGGATATGCATCAGAGCACCTTTCAGTTCATATCTCTCTCCATGGATGGAACAGAGGCATTGTCTCTCCTTTTTAATCTTACTAGCTGATAACCTTGACCTGTAACCTGTTAGGTACACCAGGATTTAGAACACAAACTTCCAGTTTTAGACAATCAACAGCGGGTGAAGATATTTCATTAAATAAATTACTCTCTTCCTGTGTTACTCCACTATGAAAGAACAGTCCAGTGCAAATCACTTCACTTACTGACTGTTGATTTTCTCAGTTACCTAGACTTGGAAGCCATGACATTGATTTAATCATTCATGTGCTGTCAAAGAGATAAAATCTACATATGATACTTTCCCATGTTTTAAATATCAAGGAATGCTTCAATAATTTGTATTTTGACTGGTATAGAATCTAGAAAATGCCTTAATAGGAAAACCACTGAAGTGTAAAGTTATGTAGATTGCATAATCCTCTCTGATATGCTTCACTTAGGTAAAAAGTATGTAGGTTGGAGAAATTTAAGTCAAATTGTCAATAACATCTCCTGTCTAGCTCTCCCTACCTGTCTGAAATACCTTAGTACATCTTAAAACTATGAAGATCATACTTCCCAACTGGACAGCCAAATCACATTTGCCTTTGCTTGAAGTGATCTCTAACTAGTTCATAGTCTATCACTCAATGATGCATGTCCTGAAACTAAATATAAAACCTTCCACCTTTTCACTCATGTTTATTTTTAGTAACACCAGTGTCACGATCACCACCCAGTTGTTCTTAAGGCCAACGCATAAAAGGTTATCTACTATCCATCCATTCATTCCTAAATTCTCTCTCTCTCTTCTTTGAGTCAGGTTTTTCCTTTTATTTTTATTTCTACACACCTGAATGATGCAGTTTTCTTCCCCGTCTAAACGTGCAAAGCTATCACAGCCTTCACAACAAACTCCCACTGATGTCAACCTTATGCTCGTCCTCTCTCTGCTAACTTTAGCATCTCTGAATTCACCCCAAGTTCTGTCTTTGCAGACTTGACTGCTCTCTGAAAATACCTCCAGGTCCACCTCAAGCCCATGAGTGAGCCCATATTGGCTGACACTATCCTCAAACACAGAATGAAGGCATCCATGGCAAAGAAAACTTCTCTTGTTCATTAGGCACAATTCTTTAGATAAACATTTTGAATTTTGTGATACAATAAATAAGAGACCAAACAAGCTATTCATATTATTTATAACAAAATAAATGGAGCTGCACTACATTGCTGAGGTATGCTTTTAAGAGAAAGGACAGAAGCCTCCCTACGACAGGCGGTGCACAGATCCCCCGGCAGCGCACAGAAGGACATTTAGGGCTTTATGCACACTGTCAGCATGTGTGCCTGCAGAACTGCAGCGCTCGTGACCAGTATCGCGCTGCTCAGCACTTCGGGCCTCTGTCACTCCGCAGGGCCGCGCTGCCGCCGACGCGGAGTGCGGCCCCCCCCCCGCACCCCGGCGATGCGGGACCCCGGCCCCGCGCCCGCGGCGCTCAGCGCTCTGCCCTCGGCCCGGGCCGGGCCGGCCCTGGGCGGCTCCCGCCTCCCGCCGCCCCCCGCCTGGCCGGGCCGGGCCGCCCCCCCGGGCACCGCGGGCCCCTGTGGCCGCCAGCCCGGCTGCACCTGCCGGGCCCCCGCCGCCCCCCGCCCGCGCCGCACCGTTCGCGATGAGCTTGGCCGAGAGCTGCTTGACGAGCTCGGGAATCCGCTCCCACTGGCACTCCGAGCGGCACCGCTCGATCTCCGTCTCCAGGCGCGAGCCCGCCTTCCTGGTGGCCATGGCCGGGCCGCGGGGCCCCGGGGGGGCAGGGGCCGTGGCGGGCGGGGGGAGGCGGGGACGGGCGGCGGCGGCGGCCCCGGAGCGGCGGAACTCGAGCGCTGCGGCCGCGCCGCGCTGGCGGCACCGCGACCGCCCCAGCGGCGCCCCCTGGCGGCCACGCGGGCGGGGCGGGGCCAGCGGCGGGGGCGGCCGGGCTGGGCCGGGTCTGGTCTGGCGGGAGCGGCCGCTACCGAAGGTCCCACCACCGCTCCCGGGGCTGCGGGAGGGACAGACAGACAGAGAGACAGGGAGGGAGGGAGGGGACGAGTCTGCCCAACGCCACCGCCGTTCGTAGCGGGGCCGGTACCGCCAGGCTGCCGCGGGCACCGGCGGGAGCTGCTCCTTCAGAACCCACTTACACACGGGTGGGAATGGCACGTTCAGCTGATTTCATCCTTACACCGGCGAACGATGACCACAGGCCCCCTTTCCCCCCCATCTGATTTACTTTCCCCTTCCACAAAATGTAGCGGAGAACTGGTTCCTGCCCGTCACTGGTCGCCTCTTCACCTGCCTTGGCACCGCTCACCACCCTTCGCTTGGTGCTTTTAATCCATTTCACGGCGTTCTCCCTCTGCCCTCTCCACGTTCGTACCTCACAGCACATTCTCTCTGCACTCCCAGTAGCCGACAGACCCTCGCACACCGTGTCCCACACCACGGCACAGCCCAAAACTCACCTGCGCCTCAGTCAAGGGGAGAGCAGGGCCTGTGTAACAAAGGTCCGCGCTGCACAGAGATCGTGCCCTACGTTTTGAGAAAATAAATGCATTTCCAGCATTTGGGAGAAATAAAAATACTATCTGAAACAATTCCAGTGGTACTGTGTATCTTTATCAAGTGCTACATCACACATACATGACACACCAGTTCCACAAACTCACATACACCTTGGAAAACTGCTGCCAAGACTGATTTTCACTGAAAAAGTAGCAAAAAGACTGAGACTGCACTAAAAAAACCCAACTCACATATTATTTATTTTTCACAAAATAAGGATACAGCCCATTGACAGAAAGAACAGGTTTTGCAGAGATACTGTGTAATGAAACAAAACATAAATTCAAATAATTCAAATGTCTTGCTCCACACCCTTGGGTCACAGCACAGACTTGTACTATTAATTCTTTCTGTCTGCAGAAATGAGAAAACAGTGAAGCCAACAGGAATTTGGTTGAATTTGTGACAATAACTATCTGTCACAGATGATGACACTTTGGAGTTTTGAAGATTCAAAAAACAGGCTGGATGCTATTTTTGCTCTTACATGCATTGCACTCCTCTGGATCTAACACGTTAGTCTTCAGACATGTGAAGTTCACAAACTCAGAAGTGAAATTTGGGCAAATGCAACATTACCAGCCTGAGACACGTCAATCATTGTTTCATAACTGTTAAGAACAACATATTTTTATTCCCCCAACCCTGTGAATCTTCAAACTCCTGTGGATCAATGCTATCAGGAGTCACTTTTATGTGCTGTTCTATAAATAGATCAGTTAAATGTAAACATGACATTGCCTATGGGCATTGGTAGAGTTGTTGTGCACGTAACAGAACTTCTAAACAATTTTCTAGTTTGGGTATGTCTGTGTGTCACATGCACTAGGTGCTTTCTGAAGTTTTGCTTTGGTTTTGATCATCCACTGAAACATCAGGAACGGGATGCATCTTTTTAAAGATCAACAATTTCCATCAAATCACTAACTGATCAGGAATGGACCCAGGCTTATATAACTGAAAGCTTGTATTCTCAATGTAATGAATATCCACTTCCTACAAATCTTGTTCTGCTTCTATCATCCTTAGACCATCACAGCTATTGCAACTCTATGACAGTTATCAGGTGTCTTTTTCAGTGCTTCAACTAATTAACTTTTCATTCCCAGTTCTATTGAAAGCATAATAGCACAAAATTCAGATATTGTAATTTGCCTTTTGTCAAGTCGCTATTATAGCACTTTCAGGTTACAGTCCCATTTCAAACAAAATATTCTTCAGATTTTAAAAGTGAAATAGAAATGGTAGCAGAACATTACAGTGTTTAAAATTGCAATGGAGTGCTGCAGGATTGGAAAGAGGATTTAGTAATATAACAAAAGCAAAAGGAGAAATGTAAAAGCATTTTTTGCTTACCTGAGGTTTCAGAAGATCTAGAGAACATTAAACTGATTACAACATGGATTACTATACTGGAGAGATAAGACAATTAAGTTAAAAATGACACAGGAAAAGAATGGTAATTCAAAATGTTTGATATTGTAACTACTAGTTCTTTTACACATAAAACTATGAAAATGAAAATTTCAACTTCTGAAAAGAGCTCATTTGCTTATGAAGATTATTCATGTTTATTCACAACAATTTTAACACATTTTGTTAGCACTGATCACATCATTTCAATAAGAGCTACCAGTAAAAGAATAGTATTAAAATATTTACATAACAGTTCATCAGGCTTATTATCTCCACAGCTACTATTTATGAAGTGAAATGTCTATGCAAAAGGAATTAGTACATTTTGAAATTCATTAGAAAATCTGCTTTAACATTAATGAAACTTCCATATACCTAAGACTGCTCTGAGAGGATTCCATTATAGATGACCCATATTGGAATACAATAATGGATCTGGAACGAATAGCATAAAAGTCATAGAGAAAAGAAGTAGGATCCCACATATTTTGTCAATTGTCCCTTATTTTTTCAACTTTAAACAAAGTGTTGTTTTCTGGAAGTGGCCTGTTCATCAAATTGTTGGGGCAGACTGAGACATACATTTACTTTGCTAGAAATAGTCTGCTTGTAAGGTGAGGCAGCTGGCTGACAAATATAGAGAGATACTTGGTTTCTGAAAAGGATGGAAAATTAAAATGCAGGAAAAGTAACTAACATGTATTGGTCAACCATTTTGCCTTTTGCCATCACTCCCACTCCAATTCCCCCAAACACAGGGCAGTAAGAGAAATAATGGATTGTTCAGTGCAATTTCATGAGCTTGCTATGAGGAACTTAAAGTACATGGCTCCACACTGTGGTGGTTTGACCTTTGCCAGATGCCAGATACTCAGCAAAGCCACTCTATCACTCCCCTCTGCAAGTGGACAGGAGAGAGAAAACACAATAAGAGGTTCATGAGTACAGGGAGAGATCACTCACTCTTAGTGTGATGGGCAAAATAGACTCGACTTGGGGATATTGAATTTATTACCAACCAATCGAAATCAGAGCACGATAATGAGAAATAAAACAAATCTTAAAAAAACTTCACCTTTCTTCCACCTCTTCCTCCTTCCCAGGTTCTACTTCCTCCCCACCAGAGATGCAGGGAGACAGGGAATGGGAATTGCAGTCAGTTCATCCCAGGTCGTTTCTGTCACTGCTCAGAGAGAGTTCTTCCCCTCCTCCAGCAGGGGGTCCCTCCCACCAGAGACAGTTCTCCATGAACTTCTCCAGCACAAGTCCTTCTCGTGGGCTGCAGTTCTTCACCAACTGCTCCAGAGTGGGTCCTTTCCACGGGATGAAGTCCTTAAGGCACAGCCTGCTCCAGCGTGGGTCCCCCACAGGGTCACAGATCCTGCCAACAAGCCTGCTCTAACGTGGGCTCATCTCTCCATGCGTCCACAGGTCCCTGCCAGGAGCCTGTTCCCACAGGTTCACAGCCCTCTTTCGGGAATCCACCTGCTCCGGCACGTGGCTCCTCTATTGGCTGCAGGTGGATCTCTGCAACCCCATTGACCTCCATGGGCTGCAGGGGCACAGCTGCCTCACCACGGTCTCCACCTGGGGCTGCAGGGAAATCTTTGCTCCAGCACCTGTAGCACCTTCTCCCCCTCCTTCTTCACTGACCTTGGTGTCTGCAGAGCTGTTCCTTTCACATATTCTTACTCCTCTCTTCCCTGAGCACAACTACATCTGTGCAGTAACTTTTTTTTTTCTTTCTGAAACATTTTATCACAGAGCTGTTACTACCATCTCTGAAGGGCTCGGCCTTGGCCAGCAGCAGCTCCATCCTGGAGCTGACTGGCATTGGCTCTGTTGGACATGGAGAAAGCTTCTGGTAGCTTCTCACAGCAGCAACCCCTGTAGCACCCACACACACACTACCAAAACCTGGCCACACAAACTCAAGATGTTATTCATACTCTCATACTTCTCGTAACCTGAAACTAAACCTGATAAAGCGGCTTTCTGCACTAGTAACTCCACACAGAACTATGAGGAACAGACGTGATGGGGGTTTATACTGATGAAAATGTTATAGAGAATATAAACTGACTTAAATAAAGTAGCATTTTAATCTCTACTAAGATATTAAATATTCCATAACAGGGAATCAGAAAACTCAACTCAAAGAGTACTTGCATTTTTAAAGGTAACGTATTCAAATATACGATGCTCGAAACTCAGACAAGAAAAAAGAAAACAAACCTGCAAGAAAATTTACAAGGTCTCTGGGTTTTATTCTAGATTGAGTTTGGCTTCTTAGACAAACACTATTCACTGCTGAAGTGGCAGGGAAGGAACCCAAGCTCACCTTTATTCTAGCTTTCCTTCATTCTAAAAAAAAAAAAAGTTTAAAACAATTATTAAAAAAGTTTAATGCGGTATTTTCATAACAGCCTTGCTCTCTGGTATGGAGGCCCTTGAGGTAAATGGGCCAGGCAAAGCTTAAAATCCAACTTGTGTCAAAGACTAGCAATCCTTAAAGGTCAGTGTTGTTTCCCTATTTATATAAAAAGCATTTAATATGCAAGTTTAGACTACTCTGGTTTTAGTTTGGCACCCTGACCAGTGGTTTGTTGTTTTTTTCCAAGTAGTTTGTCTGTGTTCCTTCTTATAGCATACATTTCTGTGAGAAAGACAACAATTCTGAGGGAAATATAATGTTACGGAAGACAGCACAGAAGTCCTTATTTTATATTCACAGTGTAAAATAGAATAAAAAAGTAAATATTTAAAAGCTTTTCCTCAGCATAAATCCGTATTT